TCTCTCCTTCCTGAGTCCCAAAGTTTCTTTGTGTAGTAGTTTCTGTAACCACCTGGCAGAGGCTTTAGTTTCACTGGGCCGACTCAGCATTAATATTCATGCTACACAAGATAACTAGTTTATTATCATTCTCTGTTATTTTGGATCAAAGTACAGTCATAGGATATGAAAGTTCTGTGCATGGTTGTTTTTTGGAATGTGGAAACTTTTGATGTATTCAAGTCAGCTGTGGTTATTCACTGAAACCTACTAGGTGCCCATCCATGAGTGTTAGTCCTTCTTATTTGTGCAAGTAAGCATGTACATGCAGGATGAATGCATTAGAGGTGGGAGAGGAGCATGAGATGTGCTGTCTTTCCATCTAGGAGTATAGAATCTTGCCTCGGAGGCACATGCACCAGGGTCAGACCTGGGTTCGAATTCTGCTTCCTTCAACAACTGTGTCATCTTGGATGACTCATTTAATTCCTGTGCTGTTATGATTAAATGAAATAACACTTGAAGTGTCTAACGTGCCTGACGTGTACTAGGTGCTCAGTGTCTGTGTGTGTGTGTTTGTGCACATGTATATATGTGTTCTCTGTCCCTGTAAAAGAAAACAGATACAAAACATCCACACACACAGCAGTGTGTAGCCAATCCAAAAGCAGTGTATTTCAAAAAATGTTTTTCACAGCCTTTCATACTTTTTATGTTCCTAGGCTTGTTTTTTAATTTTTGCCAATCTGAACCAAAAAGAATGAAATCTTGCCATTTGTAGCTACGTGGATGGAACTAGAGGGCATTATGCTAAGTGAAATTAACCAGTCAGAGGAAGACAAATATCACATGATTTTGCTCATATGAGGAATTTAAGATGCAAAACAGATGAACATAAGGGAAGGGAAGCAAAAATAATAAACAGGGCGGGGGACAAAACTAAGAGACTCTTAAATACAGAGAACAAACTGAGGGTTGCTGGAGGGGTTGTGGGTGGGGGGATGGGCTAAATGGGTAAGGGGCATTAAAGAAGACACTTGTTGGGAGGAGCACTGGGTGTTATACGTAGGGGATGAATCACTGGATTCTACTCCTGAAATTATTATTGCACTATATGCTAACTAACTTGGATGTAAATTAAAAATAACTAAATAAAATTATTTTTTGTCAGTCTGTTGAATATTTAATATGTTAATGGTACTCATAATTAATATTTCCTTGATTGCCATTTAGCTTTACTTTTTGCTTTAATGTCATATACTGTAAATGTAAAAATAACTTTTCAAATTATAAAAGTAACATACACTTATTGTGGGAAATTTGAAACTCCACTGCGCAAATATATTGTGGTCCGTTTTGAATCATCAGTCTTGTTTCCTTGACGTATATAATTGTGTAGCTTGAGATCATACCACACACACAGTTTTGCATTCTGACTCTTTCATTTAACTGTGTGTGTATCGCGAGAATCTCCTGTGTCATTAAGTATTACATAAAAAACATGACTTTTAATGACTGCTGAGTAATCCAGCTTGTGGATGTGCATAACCTCTGTAGTCATCGGTTGTTCCTTTTTTTTTTTTTTTTTTTTTTTTAACTGTTCTAAGCAATGCTGGTACTAGCATCCTTGCACCGTGTCTCTGTCTGTTTATAAGGTAACTACTGGTCAAACTCTGGACGTGCTGCCCTCTTCAAAACATACGTGCTAAGTAGGCCCGAGGGGGTGTTTGGGGTGGGGCGGGGCGCGGGGAAGCCCTGTCTCCAGGTAGGCATGACTTCCCAGTAGCTGGTGCTCGGGTGCAACATGCATCTGACAGTTTAGAGCCTTTAAGCGAGAAACTAAGCACTCTCCCCTTTCCCTTCGTCTCTGTGCAGTCCTACTGCTATCGGTACCGCTGTGCCGCTCGAAGCCAGAACACACCCGACAGCTCTGCTTCCAACCTGGGCTTCCGCTGTGCGGCCAACCGTCAGCCCACCACGGGCTAAGAGCCAAGAAGAGCCTTCCTACGCCCAGAAGTCGCATCTGCCCCGCCCTTGGCTTTCCTCAGAACGCTGAACAACCAACGTGGAGTGAAGAATCCCCACTCCGAGCTGGGTTACATACCTGCCCAGGGGCCAAAGGAGCTGCCTCGTGGGACCAGAGTGCTGACCTGTGTCAGTGTGCGTGCTTTATGGTGTGCCGCACTTCTGGAGATCATCGCTGTGCTTGAGTTTGGAGAGTCTCTCAAAGAGGAAGGGGGTGAAGGAGACCCTGGGCGAAACTTCAGAAGGCATGGGTTCTTCCCAGGCTCTGCCACCAGGGCTAGACCTCAGGGTCCCACACTTGACCTTCTGGAGCCTCCATGACCTCCTCTATCCAGTGGGGGGGGATGCACAGCATGATCTCTGAGGCCTTCTCCGACAAATTCTATGCGTATATTAGATTCTATTGTGATTTCATAGTAAGAGTTTATGACAGATTATTTTTTAGCTATTTTTTTCCATGTGTGAACCTTGGGTAATACTAATCATGTAAAATAAGAGTTCTCTTATGTATTATTTTGAGAAAAGGATGGGGTGGTGGAAAAGGTGGTGGTGATGAGTCTTTATATTCATACTGCACTTTGTGTTTTCAAGGAAATCAGTGTCTTTTACATGGTTAGGATGAATCCCACGTGGGCCCCTGGTGGTGCACTCAAGTTCAGCAGTCTGAACATGCAGGAATGTCTGTGGGGTGACTCTACTGTGCTTTATCTTTTAACATTAAGTGCCTTTGGTTCAGGGGGGCGGTTATAAGCCCTATATCCCCCCCTCTCCCCAAAGCCTTCGGTGAATGTGAAATGTATGCTACACGAAGAAACGTTTAATTCTAGATGGAGGAGAAGAGGAAAGAGAACCTTGAATTAACTCTATTCAGGGTATCCAGTATTTTATAATAGGGAAGTAGGACATCTTGTTGGCCGTGGAATATCAGATGCTCTGAATCCTGCACTATGTCGAATAAACTGGTATCTGCTAAAGGAGGCTTCCTTCTCCTCTTGTTTCTCTCCATTGTGTTTTCTTTTAAAGAAATGTCTTTGTGACATGTATGTATTTTGTTTGCTGTAAAGCTTTCATGTCCATTGGATACTTGACAACTTTGATGTGTGAGCAGTTTGCAGGAATTTTTGTTCCAGAAAGCAAAACCATTTGGCCAGGAACCTTACTATAACCTTGCTTCTTTGTGCCTCAGTAGATGGGGCAGAGGCAGGGGCGTTTGCCTCGGTTGGTGGTCCCGAAAAACCCGACAGTTTCGCTTGTCAGGAGAGCACCTTGTTCTAAAGCGATGGTTCTCAACCAGATGTCCCTTCATCAGGATCCCATCCTGATTCCCCAGCCCTTGAAGACCCCCAAAAGACGGGTCATTTGAAAGAAATGGCTCATCTTTATGTCAGTGTTCAAAAATTAAGTCAGATAATACTCATAAGTATTCCACCAACACTTGATTGCTGCTTTCATACATATACACCTAACATTAAAACTTGTCTTAAAAAACAATCATGTTGCTGGGGTGTTCAGCTATATTTGTTAATCTGTCAGTCTGTGGATACAAAATGTTTCTCTGCAAACTTTTACCAACTGATGATGAATTCCAGGCAAAACAAACAAAAAATGCACTTGCTTAATTGAAAAAGCTAATGTAAAAAATAAGGTGTTTTATTCTTAAAGTCATCACTACTCAAGTACAGTTTTTGTTTTACTTGTTACCTCCCACCTGCTTGAATTTTTTTTAACACAGTTATGTTTTTAGTGTGTATATTTAGATTCTTGTTAATGAATGTTATATAGCATAAATATTTTTGGGTGTGTTTTGGCTTAGTCTTCACAATTGATTTTTAGCAGCAGCATAATATTGGAAAGCATTTAAAATTAAATCCCAGAAAGCCTTAAGAACCACACTTCTAGGTTATTAACCAACAAGTACACCAAACTATAGACAGCCGTGACTGCTGCACCTCATACAACTGCGTACTGACATGTGAACAGACCAACAAGACAGCAATCGGATAACTTCAGCTTTAATGCCATAGATTAGTTTCTGAAAAACCTGTTTTTGCATGCAAAAAACAGGGGACATAAGGGAAAAATATGGCTAGGGCAGACCACTCAAAGCTTAAGGAACTTTGTAACTAGAACATAAACAAAAATAATAACTATCCTATGAAACACAGTAGCTCCATTAACTATCCAGGGGGCATTTGTAGCCAGTATCCCAGCCTGAGTCAGCCCTTTGCATCCATATGCCCTGGGATTCCTTCTTTGTTCTCCAGGATATAAGTTCTGAAAGACATTTGCTTTTTTTTTTTTTTTAATGTTTATTTTATTATTTATTTTGAGACAGTGAGTACGAGCGTGAGTGCATGTGAGCTAGAGTGGGGCAGAGAGAGAGAGGGAGAGAGAGAGAATCCCAAGCAGGCTCTGCTCTGTCAGTGCACAGCTCAACGCAGGACTCCATCCCACAAACCATGAGATCATCACCTGAGCTGAAATCAAGAGTTGGATGCTTGGGGCAACTGGGTGCCTCATTTGGTTAAACGTCTGATTCTTGATTTTGGTTCAGTCATAATTTCATGGTTCGTGAGATGAAGCCCTGCATTGGGCTCTATGCTGACAGCTCGGAGCCTCTTTGGGATTCTCTCTCTCCCTCTCTCTCTGTCCCTCCCCAACTCACAGGTGCTCATGCTCTCTTTCTCTCTTAAAATAAATAAACATTAAAAAAATAAAAAGAGAGAGAGAGAGTGGGATGCTTAACTGACTGAGCCACCCAGGAGCCCCAAGACATTTGCTTTTAACAGAGACCAGTTCAAAACTCAAAATACTGGGGTGTACACTTCTTGATCCCTCATTTTTTAAGGGGTATGGGCATTGTCTTCGTAACATCTTTCTCTGCACCCTCAGCTTTTCAGAAAGCTTAATTAAGTGGTGGAAGGCACAGCAGTTCTTGAAGCCGCTAAATGAACTACTGCTTGCACTTCATGAGATTTTTAATTTTTTTTTTCTGCAAGTTCCATATATTGCTGAGGTTTTCTGTTAAACTACAAGAAAGTTTACCCCTGATTATCACAAGGCATACTTCAGATTGCATATGCCCCAACATGACTTCTGCATTCTCCTGTCCTCCATTGTCTCTTTACTGGTCACTTATTCTGCATTAAAGAAATACTTATTGTAGCAGTACAGACTATTTGGTTGATGTGCTAGTACCAGTAATGAAAATCTGGGTTTTGTTTGTTTAAGGAGCTCTTATGTTGGGTCTGTGCTTATAACTCTTATTTTTTGCCCCATTGAAGGATGGAGGGAATTTGAGGTTTGGTCTTCAGTCTGCTTTGGTCTTCATTCCTGGACAGTCTTAATTTATTTTCAGGGCCGTACCTGCTGAGCCAAGTGGGAAGTAAGTCATATCTTCTTTTTTAAAGCCTTGTAAACATGATTAGAAGTGGGGAGGGAATGGAAAATGAAGGTGATGGTGGTCAAGAGTGAAATTTCCCTTTTGGAAAATATCATATTACATGGATGCCTCAGACGTTGTGTCATTCAACTGAAAATGGAATATTGATGTGCATCAGTTTAGACATTTTATTCCTCTCTTCTTCTTCTTTTTTTTAATGTTTATTTTTGAGATAGAGTGTGAGGAGGGAGGGGCAGAGAGAGAGAGAGAGAGAGAGAGAGAATCCCAAGCAGGCTCCATGCCTCTCAGCACAGAGCCCAATCTAGGGCTCGAACTCACGAACTGTGAGATCATGACCTGAGCCAAAATCAAGAGCCGGACGATTAACTGACTGAGCCACCCAGGCACCCGTCTTCCTCTCCTATCTCCCTCCTCCTCCTCTTCCTCCTCCTCCTCTTCCTCCTCCTCCTCCTCCTCCTCCTCCTCCTCCCCTTCTTCTTCCTTTTGTACAAAGCTTCTCTGTTGTCACTATGACACTGAAGAAATGGAAGGTGCTGTTTATTTTAGTAAGTATTGATTTGAGGTGTGGTAAAGTAGTAGCTCCCAACTAGTGTATAGGTGAATTCTATTTTCCCACAGATTTTCTTTACCAAGAATTTTGCTTTTGACATAAAATAAGGCAATGGGCCTTTGATCCACAAGAATCTCAGAACTCTAGTCCTCACCTTTTCAGAATAGATCATGTTTTCAGAATAGATCATGTGTATAGCTACACATACAATTACTGCATGTGGTAAAATCCATAGTTGACAGTGAAAAGAATATCTTGAAAAACACAGTGACTTATGGTGTTTTCTTCTGAGACTTCAGGAAGTTCATAAAAGAGACTGGTGTGATATTTATTTATTTTTAATTTTTTAAGCTTATTTATTTATTATTGAGAGCACAAGCTGGGGAGAGGCAGAGAGAGAGAGAGAGAGAGACCCAGAGTCTGAAGTAGACTCCAGGTTCTGAGCTGTCAGCACACAGGGCTCAAACCCACAGATGGCAAGGCCATGACCTAAGGGCCCAAGGGATTTATTTTTTTTTAACATGATATTTTGCATGCATTTCTTCCTCTCCTTTCCAACAAATATTAACGTTACCATTAACAATATTCCTCATAAGGGAATTAATCTACAGGCTGGATATTAGGAGGAAAACTGGAGGTATGGAGTGGGGTCCTTGTGGGAATGGGGTCAGGCAAGATGCAGGCTGTGTATGAGTGATGCCCTTTCTAAAGGGGCTGCTGTATCAGAAATACGAGACCAGGGGTGCCTGGGTGGCCCAGTCGGTTAAGCATCCAACTCTTGATCTTGGCTCAGGTCATGATCTGGCAGTTCTCATGAGATTGAGCCCTGTGTTGGGCTCTGCACTGACAGCCCATAGCCTGCTTGGGACTCTCTCTCTCTCTCAAAATAAGCAAGAAAAAGAAAGAAAAAAGAAATGAGTCCAGAGTTGCTCAATTTTTCCAGTTTCTGAGGGTAACTGGGTACCTGCCTTTTCATGTGAAGTCTTTTTTTGAGTATGTTGGCAACCAATTCAGATGAAAAAACAAACACTGTGAAGACCTAATACATTGTTTCTGTAGCCAGATTTGGCTTGGGGGGTGGGGGGCACTTTTCAACCTGGATTATGAAAATTTGATTCATTTCATGGAACACAGAATCTCATGTATTTTTATCTGAAAAATACTGATCAGATACCAATTGGAAAAGTGTGAAAAAGGGCCGTGGCTTGAGCCCAAGGACATGTTACATAGAAAGGCCTTATGAGACTCGCCCTTCATCCCCAGCTTATCCCACCTGAAACCACTTAACAGACACAGGCAGGCTCAGCAGCGCCCCTGACAGTCCTTTCCTACTAGCTTTAGCACTTATTCCTACCCGAAAATAGCAGAAACGTCACTTTCCTGACTTTGGTTTTCATTTCATTTATTGAAACTTAATTCTCTATAATACAAACTACCCTAGAGCAGGCCTTGTATTTATAGATTTGCTGGAATCCGTTGTGCTCTTAGTGAAAGCTGGCCTTTGTTGTTTCAAATGCTTAAAACACCATGGAAATTATT